AGTCATGCACTGGATATTTGGAGTTCAAACATATACAATATGGAGTGGACTTAAGATGACTTCAGGTCTCCTGTATAAAAGTCGCATCCATGACTAGTCTATAAACACTTTACAGTGGGAAACCTGATAATGTCTGAAGAGTTTGATACTGTATTACTATTGGAAACTTTGAAACCATTGTCAATTTTAAACATTTCTGCCAGATACTTTACAGTATGTACCCAGAGACTTCAATTCACAACAGAGTTTACATTTCAAAGATGATGATTCCTTTAAGTCTGCCTTTGTTTTGAGAAACGGTAAAGAGTACACAGTCAAGAAATTGCTAGCTAGTTTCAAGAGTACATTGACCCTGATCTGAGATTTATCTGTTGAGGCAAAGGCTAATACTGGAAAAGTGATGGCATTTTCTTTCTGCATACTGCATCATGTGTTGCACCAAAAGGGGAAATTGAACAGCATCACAGTTTCACGTCTTTGTCTTTAGGTGATCGTGGTCCGCAGGGAGATCCTGGTAGACAAGGACTTCCAGGACCAAAAGGTGACACAGGTCCTCCTGGAATTGGCTTACCAGGATTGCCTGGGCCTAAAGGTAAGAACGTACGAAAAGTCATGAATGAGCGGAGACTGACCGGTTTTCTCCTCTGGTCCTTTTGTTCTCGGTTTTAAATGCACTTCCATGCAGTTTCCTCTGGTTCATATTTCACTGATCATTCTGAAGAAGTCCACTGCATTGTCAATAATGGGACATTTGAGCTTGAGTTTTTTTATACCACATTCTTCAATTCCAAACTCTAAAGAAAGATTTGGAAGAATGTGCAAAGGTCAGCGTGAATGAAACAAATTGTTCTGTCATGAAAATTTTTAGAATGTGTACTTGTTGTTATTTTTTCAGGATTCACAGGGATGCCAGGGAATGTAGGGCAGCCTGGAGCTTCAGGAAGTCCAGGAAAAGATGGTTTACCTGGATTTCCTGGCCCAGAAGGGCAGAAGGTAAGACACAATTCACAGCTCAGGATATACGTGTGTCTTTCTGATGTTTGATTGTTAAGGGTCCCGTTGTGCCCATTTATCAAGATAGAAAATCAGTGACAGGACAATACGGAACACTGGTAAAAGATGGGTAGAATGAGTTCTATGAAATGCAGATCTTTACCTTATTCTTGGCAACAGCATGCAAACATACTGTACAAATTGTATAAATGAAATAATCTTGCAAGCTTATAATGGCCATTCTGACAACAGAATCTTCAACAAGATTTACCAGAAAGTGGAGTTGCTTGACTTCTAAGATCTATAATACATACAGTAGATTCTGTCTCAGAAAATCTGATGCAATGAAGATTTGGAGTGCTGACATAGTTCTTGTGTGGTCAGGCTGCAAAGGCAAAGCACT